ACTATTATGGTCAAGCAACAACTGATTTTCAACAGCGTCAAGCTGATACGCAATCGTAAGAAATTGGGATGCACTATAACGTTGACGCTGATAAGCCTGTACGCAGACATTTGTGGCTGTCAAACCACAAGAATTTGGTAGGTCTGCCCGCAGATCCGAATCGGTCACCACTGGAAAGCCAGATGTGATCTGGCGGGGKCGGCGCGTAAAAGACGAACGCCGCCGACGTGGCAGAGMAGGTTGTCGGTAAGACAAAGATCCCCGCAGATTAGCATCAACACGACGTCGAGAGGAAGGGGGATATATATACATTTATTTATTTATATAGATATATATATGTATATAGATAAATCGGCATCAGGAACTGCTGATCAGCCGAAGGCAGAGAGAGGCCCGGAGAAGAGGACAACAAACGAGGGAGGGGCTGTGACAAACTGTTTCGTCGGAGTCTCACCGAATGACTCATCAGGTATACTAGCCATTGAAACTTGAAACTCCGATGAAACAGTGTGTCACAGCCCCTCGTTTGTTGTCCCCTTCTCCCTCTCTGCCTAGGTGCGGTTCACCGGGCAGCTCTGTACGACGATACATATATGAGTCACATACATAATCTGTATGCATAATTTATATATATATATCGTCACAAACAGAACTATATATATCGTATATATGTAAATCAGAGCGCGAAGGCGAAAAAAAGCAAAACAAGAAAATATATACTCACAGAATAAATGCATTACGTATGTATACGTACATCCGATACATACAAGTATTCAACCGTTCTCAACGTACATATTCTTTTTTTTTTTTTCTTTTGGGAAGAAATATAACATTTATTGCTCAGGAGAAATGAGGCCGGGATTATTTCACAAACAACCCACATACGTAAAATATTTATTTATTATGTAATATGTATAACGTTTTTCTGTTTATACGTTTACATGAGTCATGATGAGTGTATACGACGCTGAGCCTCTTCTTTCGTTTCCAATGTAAGACATTGTTAGGGCGTCGCTCCACTACTCACCATATGCACAAAAGACAAAAAACAATAATGTATCTTTCCAGGTTCTAGCAGAAGATTCATTCTCACTCTGCGTATTTGGGTGAGTAGTGGGGTGAGGCCTATCGTCTAAAATCTCCGCGCTACGTAGAGGTTATGTAGGCACATGTGATATTTATAGTCGTGTTTATATTTATATCTATTTGGTAATTATATTTATAAATATACAAATTACGTTCTTCCTTCACTCTGAGACATCTTAATCGAGGTGCCACTTCACGTAACGCCCGACTGACGCAGATTAATAAAAATAAAACTACAAAATGTATAAATTTAAAAATAGAGTTACAACTTAAAAAAAACGAACCACACAGCGTCGCCGCCCTGCAGCCATTCTCCAAGCACCGACCTGCTCTTGAGTACGTCGTTTAGTGACGGCAAAGATGCAAATTCAATAGGCCGGTGGGAAAACACTCACACACACAGATGGACAGAGGCGGACAGAGAGACAAACAGAGAAGAGGAATGTCGCACGGAACAGGGTGCAGACACAGAGAGAGAGAGAGAGAGAGAGAGAGAGAGAGAGAGAGAGAGAGAGAGAGAGAGAGAGAGAGAGAGAGAGAGAGAGAGAGAGATTAACGCCAAACGCTCGGAAGCCGATATTGCTGGTGACGGCTAGAACGATTGCATCTCAGGGTTGTACGGCACTTCATCTTCATGACACAGCATTAGATGGAAAGCAGCAGATGTTATGAGACAAAGGGCCTCACTCCACTACTTTCAAAATGTGCAAAGTGAGACTGAATCCTCCGCTAAAACCTGGAAATATACATTGCCATGTTTTTTGTCCTTTGTGCATGTTGAGAGTAGTGGAGCGAGGCCCATAGTCGAAGCCTCAGTGAATGTAGTTTCTCTGCAGAAAACCGCTTTGTCTTCTTCAGTGGGACTACGGAATTCACCCGAATAGAACGCCCGGTCGTTATCGATGTATCCGGATTGAAAGTTGTGCCAAATGCAGCTATAATGACTGGGTGTTCTATTTGGTTGAAGAGGGTAGTTCTGCAGCATGGCACTTCTTTCTCCACCGGACGGCACCAGGAGAGATCGGCAGACATGGTCGAAGCTTCAACGAAAGTAGTCTTCGGTAGTTTGAAGGCTGAGCAGAGTAAAGTGAGACAGCCATTGAAGGCATACTCACACCAGGACTCCTTTGATTGTTGCTAGATGTAATTGCAGTGAGATACATCCAGACCCGGCCGTTAATGTGGTCATTTACATTTAAGGTAGAGCTAGTTTGAATACGCCTTGAGNGAGAGAGAGAGAGAGAGAGAGAGAGAGAGAGAGAGAGAGAGAGAGAGAGAGAGAGGGATCGCCTACAGAGAGAGAGAGAGAGAGAGAGAGAGAGAGAGAGAGAGAGAGAGAGAGAGAGTTGACAATATGCATTGTTGGATTCACCAATGGCAAAGAAAGGGAACGAGGAGATGGGCCGTTTGTGAAGCTATGTAAGGAAAAGGACCTATATAAGGAAAAGGAGATATAGGATCTGTCCGTACCTTGCCGGACGTTGCTGCCGGAGGTTGTGGCGCGTCGCTCGAGAGACCGGTGATGTCGGTGAGGCCTGCATTGTCGTTGACGACACCGGCATCCATGGCTGCGGCAGGAACCGCGGCTGAGGTGCCATTTTCCGAGTCAAGGGGTCCCGACATGGCCATGAGAATGGAGGTGGGACAGCAACATATTTCCGTCGGGATCTCGAGGCCACGTGGCAGGGCATCTTCGTCCACGTGGACCAGTCCCAACGCGGTCTGGTACTGCGGAAAGCTGAGACCGAAGTCGCGCCCCCGGCTTTCGTATTCTAGGAAATGCCGAGCTGCGACCTCGGGATGGGGTGGACAGAGACATGGGCGGGCGCGGGGACGGGCGCGGGGGCGGGGGCGGCCGCATCTCTCCGCGCTCGCTGTCGCTGCCGCCCACCCCGCTGTCTTTGGCGCACAAGAGGTTCCCTGCACAGTCTCTGCCTGTCGCACAGCTTTCGCGGGGAGGGCGATGCCGCCCACCTCTTCCAGGAAACACGTTGTTCCCCCCCCCCTCCCTCTGGTTGACGTCATTGTGCCGCACAATCGGTCGTACAACCTCTACGTGCCGCACAACGTCGGTGCGGCGCGGCAGGCAATCCCTTTCGACAGCGTGGTACTCTCGGACAGCTGCTGCGACGCTGCGGCGCGCCCCAGGGCGTGGCGCTGCACTCCGCCGCCTGGGCGCGGTTAGATGCACTTACTCCGCCGAAGACCGGCGGACGGGTATCGACAGACAGCCGGTGAAAAGGAGATGCGACCCGCGCGCGCGCGCTCGATTCTGCTTACTATCGATCTCTTCCCGCACAATTTCCCCGTCACTGCCGACGGCGGGGGCGCCGCGGAATTGGGGGGGCAGAGAAGGGGGGGACGTACAACGTGGCGCACGCGGGCGGGCACGGGCACGGGCAAGTCCCCTTCCAGTGGAGAAAGGACAAAACCATTACATCCCCTCTGACTGTCGATGTCCCAACCTCAGTCTATGCTCGGTAACTGTTCGGACTAGCCCCTCCCTCCCACCCATCCCCCCCAGGTGTGCCACGCGGCGCCTCTCTCTGTCTCTCTCTCTCTCTCTGTGTGTGTGTGTGTGTGTGTGTGTGTGTGTGTGTGTGTGTGTGTGTCTTGGTGTGGTCCCGTGCATGTAGCCAACGAGAGAATCAGAATAGGTTTATAACTTTATACTCGTATATGTATGTTGTTTATATAGGACAGCCCCTCGTTTGTTGTCCTCTTCTCTCTCTCTGCCTACGGTTTACCGGGCAGTTCTGTTTGTGACGATATATAGAGACATGTATAAATATGTATATTAAACATTTTGTCACAGCCCCTCGTTTGTTGTCCTCTTCTCTCTCTCTGCCTACGGTTTATCGGGCAGTTCTGTTTGTGACGATATATTATATATATAGATAGATATATTGTAAATGTAGATAAAATGTAGGTCTCTCTCTCTCTCTCTCTCTCTCTCTCTCTCTCCCTCTGTGTGTGTGTGTGTGTGTGTGTGTGTGTGTGTGTGTGGTCGCGTGCATGTAGCCAACGAAAGAATCAGAATAGGTTTATAACTTTATACTCGTATATGTATGTTGTTTATATAGAGACATGTAGATATATCGTAAATGTCGATAAAATGTAGGTATCTGTGTAATGTGTGTCGTGGGTGGAACTGTTGTCTTCAGCCCGCCGCTTCTTCTCCCCGCTTACGGGCGGGAACGACGAACTCGGAAAGACAAATTTATTATTTTTATTTTGTGTTGCATGCACGGCTTAAACTAACGATAGAGGAGAAACGGAGGAGATTGCGCGGGGTGAGTTGGGGGTAGAAAATGCGCGGGGAAACGACGAATGCGCGGGGAAATGAAGAATGCGCGGGCCAATGAAGATTGCCCGTAAAAGCGGGTAGAGAATGCGCGGGGAAACGGACGATGGGCGCAGTATGCGGGGCGTTTTCCACCGCTCCCGCGCACATCAGCGGTGTGCTGACCAGCCTAGCTCATTCCTGTCTAGCGCCATTAGATTCACACGGGATTTGTGCGCGACGACAACCGAATTTGTGCGACGTCTACCCCACCTCGATTGTGCGACTCCCTATTGCTATTGCGGAGATTTGTGCGACTGCTGCGTAGTACCCGACGGGTTGAGCCCTGGCTCTCTCGGCATCTGTGTAGAGACTGAACAAGCGGGGACACGTCAGACACGGTTTTTTTTTTTTTTTTTTTTTAAACCAGTCTACTAGCTTTTTTTTCTTACCGCTTTTTTTTCTTACTGCTTTTTTTTTCTTACTGCTTTTTTTTTTTTACTGCTCTCTTTTTTTACTGCTTAGTCTGCTGGTTCGGGGGGATCGTGGCTATTTACGTAACTTATAAATCGCTCATTGACATTCGGGGCATCCGTTATACTGGAACGATACAGAGAAAGAGAAGATTAGCATGGCCCCTGCGCGCGCAAGGATGGCACGCATAAATCGAGGAATTTTTCATTCCAAAAAAAAAACAAATGCTTTCTTCGAAAATGTCGTTGACAAAAAAAAAAAAAAACCTATTAACAAGTTAAAGAGGGGGGGGAACTAAAAATCGCTCAAATATTTTCCCAACAAACCTCTTTCCTCTTGATGATCAGGTGAACCTCACTAGTGGCTACACCGAAAGGACCAATATATCCCATCAGGAAAAAAAAAAAAAAAAAGGACGAATGTATCCCATCAAAAAAGAAAAGAAAAAAA